TTTATGAAGTGAAACATAAAGAACGAGCACAAAAACATTGTGTTTATCAGAGGAGACTTACCGAGTGCGTGTGTAATCCAGAATGAATGGAGAAAGCCGGCTCTCTCTGTTTGAGAGCAGCGCGCACAAAGTTTTCCCCATAGTACTTGGATGGGAGACCGCCTGGGAATACCAGGTGCTGTAAGCATTTTGCCCCTGGAGCTCGGGCCTGGGGGCGAGCTCAACAACAGCGCGAGTTGTTGTCGTGTAGTTGAGTTGAGTTGAGTGCAGTTGAGTTGAGTGCAGCTCTCACCACTCATCATTTCCGGTAGCATATCAAACAAAATAATGGAAGTTGTTTTAGTAGTGTTTGTTTCCACTGCATAGCAAAGAAATGGGTGAATATTTCATTTAGAATGTTTTGATTTTCCAATTTAATTTAGAAAATGGAAATACAATAAAACAACCACGTAATTTGTTTTTCTGATTTTGTTTTGAAACGGAATAACTAATGATCGAAGGGTACACGGATTGTACACGAATCCGTGTACCCTTCGATCATTAGTTATTCCGTTTCAAAACAAAATCAGAAAAACAAATTTTCCATTCGTTTATTGGTATTTTCCTTTTCTAAATCAAATTGGAAAATCAAATCCTTTATGCTTCAATATCAATGTGTTTGTTTTGGCTCTAGTTGTTTAAATTCTCAAAAGAATTATGGCATTACTATTATTTCGTTTTATTATTATTTGCGACACCGGAAGAGAGAAGAGACCTCAGATCAGAGCCGCCGTTCAGCAAGTTTTAGGAGATTTTGATGGCTTCCCTCCAGCCTTATACACATTTAATTAGGAGACTTTTTAAAAATGGGGCAACACATGCAGAGATCAGTGATGCTTTATATTGCCACGGAGCGAATGGTTGCTCAGAAATATCGGTGAGGAGATTCTGCTTGGAAAACGCCCTTAGACGTCGAAATCATGTTTCCGACGCAGATCTGGAAACTGCAGTGATCTCTTCAATTCATCAGGTATGTGCAGTATGAACCTACATTATTACGGCCCCGTTCCTTTCAGTAAAACGACTGTAGTAAATGCACACTGCGTAAATGCGCTACTTTTGTAATATGTAAACAAAGTCCTGCCATTTGGTCTGTGATACACAGCCTTCATTTGCGCTTTCCCATACGTACATGGCCTTCTGTGCAGACTGTGACAAGGGCTTTAATATTTGAATTAAAGTCTAGAAACATATGCATATTACAGACAGGCCCGTCATATGAACGAAAGTTTATGACTGGATATTTGACGTCCATTGGAGTACGTGCTGGTGAACGCCGAGTGGGGAGAGTATTGAGAGAGGTGCACCAGCCTTACCACAATTTGCGACAACGTGTAAGTGCCAGATGCAAATGTGTAAGCTTGTCACAAGTGTAAATATTGTGACACAATGTGTTGAGAATGGTGGTATGTATATTTGTTAATATGTATGGTTAATATCTACTTTAAAGGGTGCTCGGAACTTGAATCCCATCCCCTACCATGCAGAATACATGGGACACAACATTCACCTGGACCAGAATGAAAAGTTGGTGATGCTTGGTGTCACCCATGTTGTGGCAGTGGATGGCTACAGCTCAAAAATTGTTGCATATGCCACAATGCCTGTTAAAAATAACCTCACTATTTATGAAGAAGTGTACAGGTTGGTAAAACTATGCTTAGCATGTAGACTCTGAAACCCCTTATGTCCCACTCTTCTTTTCACTGTGACTCATCTATCTTTGTACTCACTCACCTTTCTCTCACCTGTACCTGCATCCCAAAGAGTGAGCTGTTTGTGGCACACTCCTTTGAATTTTTTTTGGACCTCACTCTCTTACACACATTTTCTCTATTCTCTACTGTTTGGTAAGCTAGTAATATGTTTTTATTTTTATTTTTTTTGATAGACCTGCAGTGGCGACACATGGTATGTGGGATCAAGTGCGTGTGGACCATGGGAAGGAGTTTTACCTATGCCTGTATATGCAGGAAATCCTTTCCAAATACCGCTTCAATGTTAGTCGGCAGCCCTATGCCCAGACTACGTCAACCAAGGTGCTTACCATATTCTTGTCATTCATTGATTGGCTGTATTATGACAGACACAGTACTAGGGCGGAGTAATTCATTGCAAATTTAGGTTAGGTTAGGTAAAGTTAGGTTCTCTAACATTACATGTAATTATGAAATTATAAGTAGTGACTTCTTAATTTTAATGTAAATAATAATGTTTAATCTAACTTATTAGCAGCAAAAAAGTTTCAAAAAGTGGTAATCTAGATTTAATGATATAAATATTATTTATAAGCAAGTCCATGACCACTTTTTAAAACCTTTTCTTATTCAGCTTGCATGTAAAGGAACATACACACTCACTATTTTTCTTTTGTTCCTTGTAGAATCTTAGGGTAGAGCGAATTTGGCCGGAGGTGAACAACCGTGTGAATTATCCATTGAAAGCGGCTTTAGTACACCTCGTGGACCAGGAAACCCTGGACATGCAGGATGACCGCATCAAATTTTGTGTGTCAAACTTAACCTGTCTTCTCAGCCAGATTGGCTTACAGCGAGTTGTAAATGCATGGAATGCACACAGGATTCCAGGTAAGCAACCATGATAACTTATGGTTCCCTAAAGTCAAATTTGACTTGCACACATAGTACACTATTATAGTACAATTATGGAGCTTGAAAAACTAGTGAAATGTTACAGGTCCCTTTACTAAACACTTGCATAAATAAATCTAAATTTTACTTATTGAAAACTAATCTATAAAATATGACTTAATGTAGGACTTCTTTAAACAACATAAGCAAAGAATAATGAACAAAATGAACAAATAAGACTTAATACAAAAACATAAATTTAAATGATTATAAATGACAGAACAAACACACAACCCAACTCTCTGCACACACGCATGTGTTCAGGTAGGAGGGTTTGATGGAGAAGTGGGTGGTCAAGGGCTGTAGATTAAAACTACTACATTTGAACTCCCCATGCAGGTTCCTGTTAAAATTTTTATGTCTGTGTTCTTCTTGTTTGAAGATCACCGTTAGTGCAATATAATTCTGTGGCCCTATGCATAAACCTGATATACACATGAATGTTAATCAAAACTGAGGTTAAAAGTAACACTATGTTCATTAATGAAATGTATTCAAGTATTTGTGGTCTATCAGGTTCATGCATGGGGCCACAGAATTGCCTTTTCGATCATGGCAATTAATCGTATAAATGTTTTATTTCTAGGACGAGGAGTACCTAATGATTTGGCGTCTGGAGGAAGTTCTGCCAAAATTGCACAAGACCTTTTGCCCAGTGCCTCTGTTGCTGCTGCTCACTATGAACAGGATTTGGGCTCTTCCTTAACAACTGAGTCAGTCTTTGGTGTAGACCCATTTCAAAATGAAATGGACAGGATTCATGCTGAAGAGGACTTTAGGGTCGCTTACCCAGATTTGTCTGTTATTGTTGACAATGTTGCTAATTTCGAATATACAGATTTTAATGAAGCACTTTTTTGCTTGCTCCGTGCAACTGAAAGGCATGCTTAAGTAGGCGGGTAGTATTTTATAAGTATGTGTACAGTACACAATAAAAAATGTACTTCAGTAAATGTCAATGTTGTAAAAGCTGCATGTTCACATAAAATAGATTTAGTTTGTTAAATGTACCTTATATTCTTCAGAATTAAAACATTTATGGAACCGTCTTTGAGTATGAAAGTAAATTTGAAACGCTGATACTCGTATTTTTACATACTTTAAGCTCAGTCATAGTTTACTTATTGTAGAAACAGGTTTGAGTCATTCGTAGACTGTAGGACATTTAGCTTCTCAGTGGACAAGCTTGCTTGTGAAATGTCCCACATTGTACTAGAGTACAGATGCCTAAAGAACTTTTATATCTGTACTAAAGTAATTTAATTGAATACTTCTTCCTTCAACAGACTCACTGGGAAAATATCCAAATGTGTTAATACACTATAGTAACTGAATTGTGTTAAAATACACAGGATTTACAGCCATGAATTGAAATGTATTTATATCAAATGTTAGAACATTGGTAACAAAACTGGCATAACTTAAGAATACTCTATACAAGCATTTTCCCAACACCTCAGTAAAAGAAAATTGTAATAGGTGTAACAAGGGGGGAATAAAAAATATACAATCACATAATAAAAAGTGATCATGATAAATGTGGATTAATATGGTATACTTAGTATTGCACATATCCCCAAACATAATGTAAACTTGGTAAAAACATTTTGAACATTTAAAGGGATATTTCAGGATTTTTGACACAGGGCCTCATTTCCTAATTATCCAGTGTTGTTGATTTCTGGGGATTTTTTTTTCTTCTTAAATTCATGCAGTTCTTATATTTGAAGAGTCTGGTGGTGCTAGGCTAGGGCTAGGCCAAAGCATTTCTATGGTATCAGTTAGCCTGCATTAAAACAAGTCTGACCCACTCCACAGTGCACCTGAGGAAATCACTTATAACGCCACACTAACCATATAAAGGTCTGTTGATAGAATAATTTGAACAATTTTGCATTTAAAATAACATTTGAGCAGCATCAGCTTTGTGGTTGTAAGCTAACGCAACGGAGTGATCTGCCAGAAAATAGTCCCTCAAAATGCGGTATTGCATGCGATACAAGGCCAGTTATATCTCAAAAATTATTCTATTAACACAGACATTTATATGGTTAGTCTGGTGTTATAAGTGATTTTCCTCCGGTGCACTGTGGAGTGGGTCAGACTGTTTTTAATGCAGGGTTGCTGATACCATAGAAATGCTTTGGCCTAGCGCCACTAAGCTCTTCAAATATAAGAACTGCATGAATGTAAGAGAAAAATATCGCCAGACATCAACAACAGTCTGGATAACTAGGAAATGAGGCCCTATGTCAAAAATCTTGAAATATCGCTTTAACCATACCAATTTAACGTGAAGTCAATGATCATTCAGGAAATAATATTGTGAAGTGCTGTGAGGGCATCGTCCAGCCCCACAACAGACTGGATGTGGAAAGAAAAATCATCGGTCCGACACTTGGGACAGTGTGCATGACCATCCTGCCACTGATCCAAACAGGCTCTGCATCCAAGTACGGTGGTACAACAGCTTGCAAACATTGGATCCTTCATGGGGTCTATAAGATATATGCAGTACAAGAGTGAGAAGGAGCTTTGTTCAAGCCTTATGTTCAATTAAAGATGGAAGTATGACAAAGTGACAGAGACCTATATGTAGAAATTTGAAATCACAAGGACTACAAGAAATTAGGGAATAGGCAAGGTTATGAGGAGCAGATGATTGACTGAAAACTTCAGAACATAACAATAAAAGTCAAACAACAAATACAAGTACCTCTACAAATGACACAAGAAAAGGCTGCTTTTACAGCAGCAGCCTGGTCTTCGCTGAGGCTGACAGTTGTGTACTTGTTTCCTCTGACAAATGCCACAAGGTCTTTCAGTGACTTGGATACTTCCTGCAAACCTTGGGATGCCAAAAGGACCTCCTCAATTTGGTCCAACACCTCTGGAAGGGCACTACTGTCACCATTTCGACTGAAAATGTATAACATGGTATATTTAACACTCAAGTAACAATTAAGAAGCAAATGTAAAAGCTACTTTACCTTTCTCTCTTTCGCTTATTCCCCCTGAGCCTTTGTAGTTGTTCTTCTGGAACAGCGTAAATTTTCCTTGCATTCTGTTTCCAGAAGCCAGGTCCTACAAAGTAAAAAATACTTAGTTCAGACTTGTTTTTCTTTAATTTACTCAATATCTGTATTTTTTATTTATTTTATTGTACCCCTTGTTCCTTCACAGTCCATTATCTCATTATGATGGCTGTCTATCAGCACAATGGACTGCTCTTGGCCAAGGGCCTCAAACACTTTGGCCTTAATTGTTGGGAGCGATGACTCAAATTCTGAAAATTTGAGGGTTACGGTTTTATGGGTTTCTAGTCTTCCATCAACAAGCTTGGCTATAAAAACATTCCTACAAACAAAGGATCAAGGTTATGCACCAACTGGATAAAAAGTTGAAATACAATTTCCAGCACTTAATAATAAATGTAGTTTTACCTTTGTAACATCTTTGGTCCAGCTGCTTTTGAAGCCTGAAAAGTTGCTGGACTAGTGGTACTACTAGCACTGAATGGGCGGCGAAAAGCAAAGCGGTCAGGAGTTTGCTGGTTGGAGGTAGATGGGGTCCTTCACCAGGTTCTCCATCATTTGTGCTTTCGCCGTACACTTCATAGGGGCCACCACCCAGTAGCTCCAGGTTGTCAAATGCACCGCCCTGATCGGGCAATATTACCTTGTTGTGGTCGTCAATCAAATAAACGGTGTCAGCACGGACCTATTCGCAAACATAGAAGGGTGTAATTAAGTTATGATTATATAGATACTTGCAATGTGTGCTGATGCAAAGCAGACTTCTGTCTTTTTTCATTTTTAAAACTACTAAAATTCAACAATGTTCCGTACTTAACTTGTTTTTAAATCATACATAGTTCCAAGCTTAAATTGTGCTAATTACACGTGCCGCCGATAAATCCATGGCCGGCACGTGTAAGGGTAAAAGTGTCTTCTCCAAATAAACATAGTTAAAAACAACTCACCTGAAATATCATGGCAATTTTGTTGGTGGTAACGTCATCTGGACTAAAAGAAATCCGTCTACCGCGTCTGAATAAAACGTGATTATCCATTTTGCTTGTCGCGCGAGTTGTTGTCTTGTAGTTGTTTCCGTCTCTCACCACTCATCATTTCCGGTAGCATATCAAACAAAATAATGGAAGTTGTTTTAGTTGTGTTTGTTTCCACTGCATAACAAAGAAATGGGTGAATATTTCATTTAGAATGTTTTGATTTTCCAATTTGATTTAGAAAAGGAAAATACCAATAAACGAATGGAAAATTTGTTTTTCTGATTTTGTTTTGAAACGGAATAACTAATGATTGAAGGGTACACGGATTTACACGGATTATAAAGGATTTAATTTTCCAATTTGATTTAGAAAAGGAAAATAACAATAAACGAATGGAAAATTTGTTTTTCTGATTTTATTTTGAAACGGAATAACTAATGATCGAAGGGTACACGGATTATTCAGAATACTTTTACTTTGATTAGCAATACAAAAATTTAAACTACACATGTTACATATAGCTACCATTAATTAGGAATTCTAAAATGCACAGGAGTAGCAGATCATATGGCAAACATTTGCATTAACTTGCATATAAGGCATTTTAAGCGTCCCGCACATACGCACGGCTCATTCACTCAGCGCTCTTTCGTATTAGATCCAGTGTTTTCTCCAGCGCCTGTGTGGCGTAGTGGGATTGTCCAAGTCTTTCGCTTGGAAGATTGGGGTTCGAACCCCGGCCAATCCTCAATTTTTATTAGCGGGGGGAGTATATGAATCAGATTACTCCGTTACTGAATAAAGTTGCATTTTTTTCCTGCAGTTTGGTTGGTGCAGATTGTGAAGTTTACAACAGTTTACTACAGTCTAGCAACTATTCTAAATGTGTTGGCCTAATTACTAAGTATGTTTTAGAAAAAATGTAAACGTCAACAAAATCAAAAGTGTCATAGCCTGTACTTGAACCCGAGTCCTCTCACACCAGAGTCCACCTCTTTATCATTGAGCTATAAAGCCACAGAAAGTTGTCCGGTGAACAGAGAAGAAAGACCGATGAGAAGCCAATTTTCCTAACCCTGCTCACAAGTGCCACCTGGTGGTTGTTCGGGTCATTGCAGCATCACTGGGGAAAAAATAAATAAAAGACGCGTGAATCACACGTGAGTCTCGTGTGATTCACGCGTGAAAGGCGACAAAACGAAGTGGGACCTACTGTAGGTGGTGAGTAGAATCTCTCAAGGCGCCAGAATTAAAAGTGGCAGGTGCAGGCTGTAGAGGGCTATTTATAGATGGGACTGGCACGTGATTGGAGCATTTAGTTCTCTCTGGCGGGAGGCCTGAGGCCTCGAGTTATATCCACCAGCATAGCCCTAAGGGGCTTTAGCACCATGCTATAGAATGAATGGATGGATGGTCTCTACAAGCTTGGCACATCGGAGTGCGTGATATTTTTCTAATTATTTTGCAAAACAGTTCCTACAGGTTTTACGTACGTCACTGTAGGAATTGCATGACAATAAAACTGAAGCTAATTTCCAACCATTGTTTGGAAATTACATGTAATTCAGTAATCAGTAAATCAGTAATCATTGGGAGAAGGTTGAGGTCTTGCCTGTAGGACATAATGACAGTATGCATTTGAATAGAGCCTCTGCCACACAAACCAGACACAGTTTTGCTTAGCCCTTTGCAAGTTGTTGTTTGAATGATTGAAAGTAAATCACAATAGTCAAAATTTCCATTCAATAATAGACCTCCTTTTAGTAGAAGGACCATGTATGAATTTCCCGTCCCACATGAAAACTACTTGTTGGGATGCTAGTTTGTTTTTTAGATAGCTCTCAAGGGAACATTTAGAAATAAAGGAGAAATATATTTTTAATTGTTCTTGTTTACTGTTGTTAGTCTTTATTACTTTTACCACTAATAATTACTCTATGTCATGGAGTTTCAGCCACACCTGTAAGGCAAGCATGCAACTGTCAAAACATGTCCTGTGTGGCCATTGTTGATCCTACAGGCAAAATACTGAAGAGAAAATGTTTGAATACTTTGATCCCACAAGGATACAACAGATATTTTGGTTACACTTTAAGCACAATTTGTGCAATTAAGGCCGATGTTTTTGTGATGACAAATGATATACAAATACATGATTCTTGATTTTATGTAACAAAAATGAATGATTCAGCTTCAACAAACAACAGCGATTGATAATGATATAAAGAGTTATCCCGAGTTTGTTAATGAAGCAGAGTCCAAATTGCACTTTATATTTTGAGGCTAGCGTTCCAGAATGCGATCAATCTTATTTATTAACTATAAGCTCAACATTTTCGTTAATCCATTGACCAAGAAAACCAATCAGGGCAGAGCAACATTCATAACAATGAGCAACGTTTTGATGATAATAATCTATCTACCCACGTTTTAAGGTCTTTTATGCAGGCACTAAGCCTTTTCAACTGATCCGTCTGATTTGGTTTCATTGACAGATAAAGCTGTGTGTCATCTGCATACAGTAGCAGTGGAAGTTAATTCCATGTGTAACCGTATGAGGGTGTGTTTTTAATGATTTTTCCTAACGGAAGCATATAGAGTGTGAAAAGAATCGCTCCGAGTACCGATCCCTGAGACACACCAAATTCCACTCTAGAGTATGGTGACGAGTTTTGATTCACATTGACATAGTGATACCGATCCGATAAATAGGATTTAAACCAGTCAAGGACTGTTCCTCTAAGACCTATGTCACATTCTAGCCTCTGCAGTAGAATGCTGTGGTCTATTGTGTCAAATGCAGCACTAAGGTCCAGTAGGACCAACACTGACACTTGTCCATTATCAGCAGCTAGTAGTAAGTCATTTGTGACTTTGACAAGTGCCATTTCAGTGCTATGATGAGCTGTGATGTGGATGAGAGGCAATGGGCTCTGGTGATGGCCTGGACTTCAGCAGCACTTATCCAGCTGCTCTGTTTGTCTTGGACTGACTTTGATTAAACTATTTCCCGCCTGCAATAGTAAATAGTGTGTAGATCAAGTTCCTATGAATATAAAGAGCTGCAGAGTGTGCCAGCACAAAGGCAAGTGGCCAAAGTGACTTCACATATTTATGACCACCATAATACCACAAGGTTTTCCTTCTCATCTGTCCACTCAATAGTTTTTTAGTGATTTATGGCATGTGTAATGGGGGGAGTTGTTTAATTGCATAGAATGAAGGTTGTAGAAGTGAAAGGGCCGAATTATCTGATTATGGAAAATGAGAGCGATGGTGGTGTTCCCAAAAAGAGACAAAACTATTAAAATTATAATTTTTATTAAATGTCAAGGATAAAAGTTCTCTAAAAAGTCCTTCATTAAAAACCAGAAACCTCTGGTGTGGAGGCCCTGTGGGGATAGCCCCAATGGCTGAGACCGACAGAGGGCCAGAGGTAGCTTGACGGCGCTAGTCCCCAGTGAGAATGCCGCCACCGCACTGGACCATGGGCTGGGGCTTCTGGGGGGAGAGAGCACACGGCAGAACAAGGCACACATATATAGGCCGAAGGCTATGAGGGGTTAACGCGTCTTGGACCGCTACTTACTGCGCAGGCGGGGTATGAGCCCCGCCGCTGCGTGTAGATCGCTTCGCGGTACGTCCCAATGCCTCTGCGCCCTGACTCTCTACCACAGATTGTAGCCCTCCAGCTGCCGCTGCAGATCCTAGGCCCGTAGACCGCTGGTCTGCGTGAAGATCGCTTCGCGGTTCGTCTCCTTGGTGCTTGAACGGGACCCGCTCGTGGTTCTCCTCCGTGGCTTCCCTTTGCTCGTGGCCTGTCTCTGCTCATCCTTGTCTCCGTGGTTTCTCTCGGCTCGTTGCTTCCTCTACTCGTGGCCTCCTTCTGTGGATTCCCCTTGCTTCTTTTAAGATCCTGCCTGCCCATTCACGCAGGTGCGGTGATTAGGAGGGACGCCCAGCTGGCTGGTGGCAGTCTGGTAGTGCGGGGTAGCCATGGCACGCGGGTCATTAAAAGCACAGCAACCACACACACACAGCAATACAAAATAAACAAAACACCCCACAGAGCTGGCTTACACATGCATTGAATAGTCGCTCATAAAATGATAGAACAATATTACAACTAAAAGAAGAAGACCAACAACCCCAGGGCAAGGGTGCCCAAAATAAATACATAAATAAAGCATACTAAGGGGCACAGGTTCGTAAAATCCTAATTAGAGGTATAGGCAGACATAAGTTACTTTGATTTATTACGTTATGTATAGTTTAATATCCTTGTTTCAAGATGTGTTTTTACATTTCATATATATATTCACACGGGCACATCCACTTGTCACGGAGGACTCAGGAGCAAATTAAAAGCTGTATTTAAGTAAGAAAGCCCTCCGAAAAAAAAAAAAAAAGTTTAAAAATGAACTGTGCTAAAAACGGTGTCTGATCTGTTTAGGAAAACAATCGTAACAACCATCATACAACCTTATCATTAAGTCACAGAGATTGATGATAGGGCATTAGCTTCAAACAGTGAAAAAAAAAGTCTTCTAAATGTAACCTGTATAAAGTGAACCGCTGTGATTCTAGGATTCTACAGGAGGAAGGGAGGCTTAATAATTTTAGACCACAAATGTTTAGTATGAAAAGTTAACACAAGCCGGCATTTATTTCTGTAAAACAAATGTACCTTGAAAAAAAAAACGTTTACCCCTATCTAATGTGTATCAGTCTCTTTGGATCAAACAAAAAAAATAAAGTTCAGAGCTCTGATAAAAAAAGAAATGGTTTTCATCTACCCGGGTAGTTTGATTTTACTTTTGTTGAATGTGCACAAAATCTTAGCTATTCAGCTCTTTTCGATGAAGGCCAAGGTGGATGAACGGAGATGGTTGTGCGTCGTCCTTCTCTGGATCCAGCGACAAGACGTTGCAAACTCCGTGACACCAGCCAAGCACCAAACAGTCCTCAGGTTATAAAAAAAACAACCGGAGCTCAAGAACACACAAACTCGAAATAATCCTTGTCTCCAGTACCCCTTGCTGTTTTTATGAACTATATGATGTCCAACGTCTCACAAGATGGCGGAGCATTCACAGTAAAAACAATAGCGCCCTCTAATGGACGGATGCAGAAATGCTCCGTTTAGCGAACATTTAAAGGAACAGTATCACAACATAGCAAGTAATATTTGGTGGGCTACATATCTCCCCCCCTAAACCGTCACACATCCTTGTATGGCGCCCATAACTATCTTAAATGGTCAACGAGTTTATTGCTACAGGGTCATAATCAAAAGTTTCAGATAATGCTTGATCTAGACCCCATAGAATAGAATGCATCACAGTCATTAATGGGCTACCAAGAGTGGAGTAAGTGAACTTCTTGGGAGGCACTCTTTCCCTCGCAGACCTTCTGGGGCCTGTCTCATTGACATAGTCTCTTGAGTTTGATTGCTCAGTGTCATTTGGAACTTCGCCCATATCTTGGGTTTGATTTCTGGGACTACTGTGGTCACTTTGAGTGTCAACAGGGGAGTTGGAAAAGTGAACAGTTTCATTCGCTTGACGAACAGGAGTAAGCTCAATTTGCTCAACTTCCTGAGGTGATCCAGGCTGAAACTCAACAGCTTCTGGGTTCAGAGGAGGTATAATTAAACTGTCATGTTCTGTAAAGCTCGAAACATCATCAATAATGTTTTCTGGGGCTTCAATGTTGTTTTTTGTTGTGACCTCTTGTTCATTGTATGTTTGTGTTATCTCAATCCATTCATTGCCTGGTTGTGCATTTTTTGTCTCGTGTGAGGGTTTGTCATAAGAGGAATAATATTGAATTCCATCCTCTTGACCAAAAAAGTCAATGTCATCCTCAGACTCCAATTGATCGGTTTGTTGTTGTGGCTCTTTTTGTTTTTGTTTTGACGGTTTATTTGGCATGTTCTTTTCCCGGGTGTCAGATGGTAGAAACCCACAGGGTAATAGCAAATCTCGGTGAAGAACTCTTTCAGGCCCATGTGCATTTTCTGGGACAACAACATAAACAGGTAAGTCTGGAATTTGCTTGACAACTGTGTATACAACCTCACTCCAGCGATCAGCTATTTTATGTTTGCCTCTGATGCCAACATTTCTTACTAAAACTCTATCACCAGTAGTCAGAGTGGACTCTCTCACTTTGCTGTCAAATCGCCTTTTGTTTTGCAAGGCCTGTTTTTCGCTATGTTCTGAAGCAAGACGATAGCTTTCAGAAAGGCTTTCTGCAAGATTCTTGACATATTCGGAATGGGACAACCTAGCACACCGCTCTGTGTTTAAGCCAAAAGCAATGTCTATTGGGAGATGCGGCTGCCGGCCAAACATGAGTTGATATGGGGAAAAACCAGTGGTATCGTTTTTCTTACAGTTGTACGCATGAACAAGGGGTTGTACAAACTCCTTCCATCTGGTTTTGTCTCCTTCCTCCAGTGTTCCCAACATTCCGAGAAGAGTCCTATTAAACCTTTCCACGGGATTTCCGCGTGGATGGTAAGGTGAAGTTCTCGTTTTTTTAATGCCAAGCAGGGAGCACAGGTCTTTGATCAAGGCGGACTCAAAGTCACGACCTTGGTCACTATGTAACCGCTCGGGAAATCCATAATGGATAAAGAAACTGTTCCAGAGGGTTTTAGCCACAGTCTTGGACTTTTGGTCAGCCGTGGGGACCGCTACGGCATATTTAGTGAAATGGTCTGTTATGACCAAGATGTTCTTTGTCCCCTTTCCATCGGGCTCAAGTGAAAGGTAGTCGATACACACTAGCTCTAATGGACGGCTAGTTTGGATATTGACTAACGGCGCACTCTTTTCAGCACGGGCTTTTCTTCGTATACACCTTTCGCATGTTCTGATTTTTTCATGTACATCCAGAGCCATACGAGGCCAAAAGAACCGGGCACGGGCAAGGTCCAAAGTCCTATCAACACCCATATGTCCGAGGGAATCATGGAGGTTTTCAAGAACTTGCTCTCTGAAGTTGGCCGGAAGGACGAGTTGATAACAGGGAGCTCCTTGATCTAACCGCTTTCGGTACAGAACTTTGTCGCTCAACACCAGTTGTTTGAGTGTCCTTAGCATCAGCTGAACATCTCTGTTTTCTTGTTGCCTTTGTCGGTATGTGAATTTCTTCCCCGTTTCCACTATATCGATAACACGACCAATGACAGGGTCTTGCCTTTGTTCTTGTGCCCAATCATTGAGAGACATTTTTGGTAAAGTATAGGATCCATGCATATCTGTTTGACAATATGCATCGGGTAAAGCGGAGGCTTCAATGGCTAAACACTCTACAGGCACGAGCGGGTGTATACCTGACTCTGTATGAGCTGAGTTGTGGAACTCATGCCTTTGACACACTGCTCTTACTGCTTCAGATGGAACATTTGGCTCACTGTGACTTTGCAAGAACTGAGCAATGAACTGTTGAATTCTATTGTCCTCATCTTGAGAAGTGTTATCAGACATTTCATGTACTTGAGGATGTGGACGTCTTGAAAGCCCATCCGTATCTTGATTCTTTTTGCCAGCTCTATATTGGATGTTAAAGTCAAAGCTGGAGAGAGCAGCCAACCAGCGGTGGCCTGCTGCATCAAGTTTTGCAGAGGACAAAATATACGTCAGGGGGTTGTTATCCGTTATCACCGTAAACCTTGCCACATAAAGATAGTCAAAAAACTTTTCGGTGACAGCCCATTTGAGTGAGAGAAATTCAAGTTTGTGGGCGGGATATCTGCGCTCACAGCGGGAGAGTCCTCTACTCGCATAGGCAATTACTCTCAACTTGCCTTCCTGCTCTTGGTATAGAGCGGCGCCAAGACCATGCAGACTTGCATCTGTGTGGACAATATATGGATTTTTAGAGTCTGCAAATCCCAATATGGGTGCTGTTGTTAATTTTTGGATGAGTGTTCGAAAAGCATCCTCACAAACAGTTGTCCATTTTTCATTGAATGGTCTCTTAAAGTCTGCATTGGTATAGGGTTTGGCGTTGGGCAACTTCCTCTTTGGTGGTATGTATCCAGCGGTTAAATCATTGAGAGGCCTTGCGATTTTAGAGTAGTCTTTGATAAACCGCCTGTAATATCCGGAGAAGCCAAGAAACGACTTAAGCTCTTTGATATTGTTGGGTCTTGGCCAGGTGGTAAGGGCCTCAATCTTGGATGGGTCTGTCTCAACCCCATTTTCAGACACAACATGGCCGAGGTATTTTACAGACTTTTTGAAAAACAGACACTTTTCAGGTGAGAGTTTAAGGCCAAAATCTCGTAGTTTGTAGAGAACTTTTAAAAGCCGCTCCTCATGTTCCTCGAGAGTCGCAGAAAAGACAATTAAGTCATCAAGGAAGACTAACACCTCACTCAGGTTCATACTGCCCATACACTTTTCCATGACCCTCTGGAAAGTACTGGGAGCATTGCACTGTAAATTCTAATCCATTGCGCTTACTTGGAAAAAGCTGTAAACCCGATGCATAAAATCAACAGGATTTCTTTAGTTAACAGTGCTTTCAGTTTAAGCAATTCTAATTAGACTTATCAAGTATGCAATACTCTCTTATCAAGTGATATCAACAGGGTTTATCTAGTAGTCAGTACCTGTAGCAGCAGTTGCACTTACTAGGTTTATCTAGTATGCAGTACTTTCACATCAAGTTATATCAACAGGGTTTATCTAGTAATCAATATGTGAAGGTGTAGTTGAACTTACTAGACTTATCTAATATGCCGTACACGCACATCAAGTAATGCTAACATAGAAAAAATTGTAAACCCGATGCATTAACTTTACTCAGATATCAAATAACAATGACATCAAATTCTCAGTATACGTAATTTTAAATTTAAAGTTACATTCTATGTATTAATAAATGCATTACATTAATTGCAAAAAGGAGCTA